AATTATCAAAGAGTTTGAATAATGTAATCATCTTAATGTATTCAGTTTTTATAATGAACATCTGTTATGGGCAGAGAGAAGCAAAGTGACTGGTTAATGCAACAATTAAATAAACAATTAAACTCAAAAATTAATAAAACCGACTTTACAATTTTAACTATTTCGAGTAACAACCTGAAAAGACTGCCACTGAAATATTCCTCATATCCCTTATTTCTGTTGGAGGATTTTTTTTCTTTGATGGAATTCATATATGTTTTTTTAGATGCTTGTTATGGGTATAATCCTGTTTACAAAGACAGCTTGTTCCCCGGATAGAAATCTTTGCCTTTGAGTGATGCATATTTGTGTTCTTAAAGTTCCTGCCAAATCTCTTACTTTACATGCCTTTGCCAATAATCCTTTTGCAGTTTATTTTCTGTCAACTCCATTTATTAAGAGGGTTGTTTTCAAACATGCTGCTTGCATACATTACAGTAATTCTGCTCTCCTGGGAATTCATTCTCTAATTATCGAGATGGTCTAACAAATGCCTCTGATATTTACTGCTATTATGTTTTATTCTGGCATTGTACTTCATGACCTGAATATAATATCTGGAAAATTTACATGGATGAGAAATAATTTTGCAGTCTGTACTCTTCTGAGCCTCATTTTATGAGTAATTCCAAGAAATCATAAATATTTTGTTAAGGGAATCTTGCTGTCATTTATGATTCAGAAAATAAACATCCTGTTTCATCCGAGTTCCTGAATGACATTTCACTCCATTTCCTTGCTCTGAACCTTGTTCCTATGCTGTAATTGGTTTGTTCTTTTGCTCCTGAAATGCTGCAATTCGAATATACTTCAGGCACACTTGTCAGCTTGTCATCACACATCCAGACAGACAGAACAGTTTAGGTCCTGAGCATGCAAATCTGCTCTCTTTGAGATTACACTCCCAGACATCCCTTGCCAGGCTGGTGCAAGGCTGGATTCATCTGCTGTTGTTTGATGCCATTTGCTTGATGGCCACTATTTGCCATTCACAATTTGTTAAACAGGGATTCTGCAAACTGCATCCAGAATAACATCACCATGAAAGCTATCACATGATTAAAGGTCCTAATTACTCTTAATTAACCCCAGAATCGCCATTACAAAGAAAAATCTTGACTTCTGCTACAACCACAACTTAACTGGAGTTTAACATAGGATTTATTTTTTCCTGCTCTCACTTTTTATATTTAGTTTTTAGATTTCTCGCTGAAATCCACATCCTCAATGTCAGTGACTGTGTCTAGACGGGTTATATAGCTCTGAATGGTATTCACAGCTTCTGCTGCATTGACTAGGAAAACCTCAGAATGGTTCTGCCTGAATTAAGGAAAAAGGTCTGTACCTTTGAGGTTTACATGCTAAGCTCAAGGGGTTCAAGAAGTTCTCTGCCTCCTGTCAGGATTCAGAATTTGTAAACAGTTCTAGAGTGATTGTCCATCTCTTGATTTAGAAAGAATGAGTGCGGTAACATACCTGAAAAACTCTGTTTTCTTTCTATATAGAGTCAAAACACAGGCACAGCAGGCAGGTTCAAAGCTGCTTTAAACGCACGTTTCAAGTTGCTCCTTTAACACCACCCTAAAAACCTTTCTATTGAAAATATGACATAAGACAATGAAGATTTCAAAGAATCGCAAATAGAGTATGATAATTATTTCTGCACATGAGTGGAGAAGGCCCTTGGAAGTGAGGAATGATGGCTCCACTGGTTGCTCACCCTTTCACAGTCGTGGGAATAACTGTGTCTCACACATGACAGCTCTGAAACCTGGGCACACAGGCGAGTTTTCTCACAGGGAAAATCAGTCATTTCAGTCAAGAGCTCAAGGAGAAGTTGCTGCTGTCAAAATCACATGAAGATATGCATAATTTTCATTCCTGTATTCACATTCATCATCACATGGAAGCATGTAGAGCACCCAAAACAGATGTCTGTGACTCTGAACATAACTCATTCTGTCTGTTGGCATTGATTACTGAGTTGAGGATGCTCTCACCTGTCTGCCTGACTATGGTTTTCTTTTCACTTCACCGTCTGGTTACCACAATCAACCCTGACCTTCACTGTGCTCTGTATTCTTTACTATCCCACTGTTCAGTCCCAATTCTTCTGAAACCACTGAACCATCTAAACTCTTTCAGCCCGACCAGCTTCTCTAGGGGAAAACAACAATGTGCTTTTCTCAGGATCTCAGTTTTCTATGTAATCATTTTTTACCCTATAGCCAGATTATGTTGAATTCTTCTAGGCATGGTGATGCTTTGGTCATCCACAGATCCTTATCTATGAAGAGTACAAGAGCTTTGGGTATCAGGTATTGTGTGAGCATAGCTGGTCTTTCCTTTCAAGTAGTAGGGACCTGGAATAACTACAGACCTCATGCAGGGCAAGGTGTGAACCAGTCCAAGCTGTAATACAACAGTACAGAATTGTGTAAGAAAACAGACCAGGATTTAGAGAAATCTTCCTGGAGCACTTGGAAGCACTGGCTGATTGCTGTCTCTTCACATTCACTCAGAAATTAGAAGGATTACACTTCTTGACACAACTAACACTAACTGTCTGTATTCTGCCCCAGTTCTACTTTAAATGCCTTTTGTGAACTAAGCCTTGGCCTTTTAAAATTAATTATCTTTAATTACCACGTTCACTCCTCTGTCCTCTGAAAATTGTCACTTCATTTTCTTTGTTCTAATATTTGCTTACTTTCCCAGTAAAACGTGACTTTTCACAAGGAAATTCTCAGTGGTACACAGGGTATTTCCAGCTAATTTCCTTAATACCCAAAGGATGCACATAATCTGGACTTTCAGAAATGAGTGTTAATTTTTTTCTTCTGTATATTCCCTCCTTTGATCTTAGTTATTTTACAAGGTCAGTTCTAAGCATAACTCCATAAATCTTCAGATACCTCCTCCAATTTCTATGTCCTTCAGCATTAGCAGTTAGAGGGAAATTATAACCCAGCTTTTTTTTTCCTGTGCATTATTTCTCACTTCCCAAAGATTTCATTGCTGTGTTCCCTGGAGTTTCATTTTGCATGCCAGAAACCAAGATTTCTTTGACATAATACTGCCTCTCCAAATCTCTCTTTTACATGGCTCCTTCAGTTGCTCATTTTCATTTTCATTAATATTCCATTTCTATGAACCAGCACATTAGATTTCAGTAATGCATCGAAAATCACAATTGGTGTCACCTCCTCTGCCTCTGCAGTCTATTACTGCTGTTTGTTCCTTCTCTTTCCATACAACCATTTTAATACATTAACATAGTCTCCATTTTTCTTCTAATCTGATTTCTGTCTCAAATAAAACAGTTCTGAACAAGCTGAAATTGCCTGGCACATTTTAGCCCAGGTGCCACTTGAACTCTGCTCTCCTTCATCACCTCCTCTCACCCAAAACAGGTCTTGAAGGCATTAATGTTCATGCAGACCACGAAATAAACTCTTATTCAGAAAGAATTCATTGCTGAAAGGGATAACTATTTGTGCCAGGTAAGGTTTTGTGCCTTTGTGCTTTGCTTTTCAGTGAGTGTTTTAAAGGCAGAAGGGAAAGGATCACCAAGATTTTGACAGTGACAAGTGTATCAGTTAAAGATAAATGAAATAATTTTAATGCTTGAAAATTAAAAATAATCCATTTTTAAAAGATTATATTAAAAATAATAACTTGGTGGTAGTATTTGGTATAATGGATTACAACATATACGCTGAATAATGGCAGAAAATCCAAGAAGTCTATGTGTGATAATGAGTCTGTAACTTTAATTGACATTCAAATCTTGTTTAAACATTGGCCTATTGAACTGTAAGTCTCTCTATTTAATTGAGTTTAATGTTAAAATAGGAAATACATTTTAATTTTAGCAGTGGCCAATAAAACACCTAAAATGATAAGATCAGAAATCTCAAAGAATTTAGAACCAAGGGTTTTTTTTAACTTGGTAAAACTGATTTTACATTGTCTTGCCTTTTTGAGGACCTAATTATCTCTATATGATTTTCACTATTATATTTTGCATATTTTTTACTGTATCTAGTTCTCTGTCCTTTCTTGAAATCAGAGTTGAATTTACTTTCCAAAATCATGTAAAAGATTGATATGATTTCTCATAAATATTAGGAAGCAAGTAATTTCCTTTAGTGCTGCCAAGACCAAGGAAGGAGAGAATGTCTGAGCAGACTTTTCCCCCTCCTTCCAAGGCAGAGTGGATAATGAAGATTTGGCAGGAGAAATAACTTTATCTTTCCAAAAAGTTTCACTTGCTAACCTATATTTTTCACTTATGGATTCAGCTAAAGATCATTCCTTAATATTCTTACGAAGTCTTTCCTATAAAAACATTCACCATTCTCCAAATCATTCAGTTTAATACCAAGACACTTATGCATCTGGGTTCTATACACACTCTGCTTAGAAAAGCAGATGTAACTACTGAGTAAATAAACGAAGCATCAGAGAATTCCTGAACCACTGTCCAATGAAGTGTTTGGAAAACGGTCTTTGAGATACTGCAGAACTTTTGTTACAGGGTTAGATAAAAAGATAAAACATTTAACAAAACCTTACCCACAACAAAACTGTGGATAGAGATATTTCATCATCATATTAGCAAATCAGTGCATCCCTAAAGGTTCTGTAGACATTTAAATTATTTTGACCTACAAAAGTTTTAAAGAATGCATGTGTTCTACTCTTACACAAAAAGCTGGACTTAATTCCAAGTTGTTCTCCGTATTTTCTCTCAGTATTTCCTGATATACATGTGAAACAACGCTCAAATGTGTCTTATTTCTGATATTTCTCTGTCCCCCACTTCTAATTCCACCCCCTTCCTGGGTACTGCCCACCACCCTGTGGGCCAGAGCAGCAGCTTTGGATGCACAGGGACAGTCTGTGCTTGGTCAAGAAAGTTGTCTGGGGTTTTTACCTTTTTCTCCATAGGCTTTTTCTTTTTTTTTTAGATAATTACACATCATATTTTTCATGGATTGGTAACTCTACTGAGTCATTCTGTTTGCCAAAGCCATTGTGCAACATTTTGTGTCCTGACTTCTACACTTCTCTTGCAACTGGAAAGGTTAAAGCAGAGATCAGCCTTTGGACTCTGGTTTTGCTTTTAAAATGGGAATCTGTCAGAAAGAACTGATATTATCTTGAGATTTGCACTTTAGAGATACATAGCAGACTGGGATGAAATTTGGTCACTTAACTCTTCCATGACTTAGTGGGAAAATGTAGCATTGGTTAGGGGATAGAGGACTCCAAATCTCCAATAAAATTGGAAAATATTACAGTGGATTATTGTTTTTTTGTTCACACAGTGTCTTTCACTCACCAAAAATAAATTAAAAAAAAAAAGACAAAAAAAAAAAGGACAAAAATCTTCATACCTCTTGAATTCAGCAACACTGTGACTATGAGCAGCCTATCAGAAGGATCAAATAAAACCCTCCACAGGAAAACCAAGAGATTTAGCTTGCTAAGCAAAGAATTAGTCATAGCTTCTATCAAGAAATTGATTTATGATACACAAACAAACACATAAAGCTTCCATCCACTTCAGAGCCCACTTTTTAAGAGAAAAACTGAACACTGGGAACAACAGTCTCAAAACAAACTATTTTTTGACCATTATTAAAATAAGGCAAAATTAAATGTTCATAATTAAAATAAGTAAAAATTAAATTAAATAGTAAATTAGAGACTAGATAATTAATGCATTCCTTTCTCGATACCAGATGTTCTTTTCTTCCCAAAGCCTCAAATTTATGAGGAAGGAGAGAAAAAAAAAAATCTCAATTGCTGATAAACAGATAATTAGAAGCAAACTAGGCTTGAAATTAGATTATATACTTTTACAAGAGACTGTATACCTAAAGAATTATAAAATAATTGCAGGGGGAAGAAGGTAGGCTTTAAATTGTTGAAGCACAGGATGAGGTAGACTTTCAGAGCTCAGGCTTGAAATGAGAGCCTTTTGTAGTACAAAAACACGATGAGACAGCCTTTCATAGCATTTCAAGCTTTTCCATAATATATTGTCATTGCAGCCAAAGAACCCGTCATATATGATAATTTTCACACAGTTCTGAATAAGAACCTCAAACAGATCAAAGGGAAACTTTCAAGTTGCTTTGTGGTTTGTAAATATATTTAGAGATTGCTTTGTCTCATAAACAATAGCACTCTAAGCACTTCAAAAAGAAAGCTGTTAGTTATGTTACCTAACAAAAATAATGTTATTTACTGAAAATAGTTTACAACACTTACAGTGGATGGAAACAATTATGTAAACAGCAAAACAGTGGAATGACTTTGTAAAGCTTATTGTACAACAAGAGCTACATCCATTAAAGTTATGGCTGAATTTTCTATTCTATTGCCTTTAGTTCCCTTGGATTAAATGATTGAATTGTCTCAGCCCTGAGAACATGTGATTTGTTAAATATTTGAAAATATTTAAGTATTAGACAGCACAAAACCAGTAATTTCCTCTGGTAAATATCCTAGAGAAAAAAAGCTGGTATCCATTATCCTCATAACAGTCACCATTTAAAAGCTGCTCATTGCAGTTAAGTGCAGGTGCAGTAAAATATATCACTACATGGCAGTAAAATTTATCACTATATATCAGCAAAATATATCACTATATATCACTTGTTGACAGGAAAATATACCTCTAAAACTATATATGGAACTTATGCATATTTGCTGGATATGGAACATCAAATGAAGAGCTTTTGCAGGGGTAACATCTAAGACAAAGCCGAGGCTAACATCAAGTGAGGAAGTACCATATAAAAAAGGTACATATTCCCAAAAATATTCTGATTAAGGAAATTATTTATGTTTTGACCTGATCAGCAAAGAACAGTGAATTTTGCACTGTTTTTTCCATTTTCCATACTGTCTAGTTCCTGTTTTAACACACCCAAGCTTGGGCAGTCTGTTCTCATGGCTCGCACTTCACTAACAGGAAATGGGTCCCCAAAGACGGTACAACCCCAAAATTGACATTAATTGGTAAAGCAATTTAGAGCTAGAAAGAAAAAGCTGGGCTTTTTCTATGATGACATTTGGAAAATGAAAATAAGAAGTATTTTTTTCAGTGCGATATTTCTATTTTCTTGGGACAAATGTGAGCACCTTGTGCTGAAACACAGAACACAACTCATTCAGGGTATGTGCAAGAACATAAAGTGCTTTTCTTTATTAAAAATTTTATAGAAGCTGTTTTTTTTCCATTATGAGTGGATTCAAATCCTTATTTCATTTCATGACAAATGTTGGAGGAATTTACACTCTTAGATTCCCCTAAATGCTGTATGTTGAAAGATACTGTGCTAACCATATAATCTTTATCACTGTTACACAGGGAGGTTTTATTCATTTTAAATCATCCAGATCCCAAAACAATAATCCAAAAGGCAGACTTAACTGAGTTCCCTTGGAAGCACACCACTCAGATTATTTTCTCTAAATCTCTAAGGCCATTAGCAGAAACCTGATAAATGAGAAATAGTAGTGAATAAAAAGGATGTTACTGCAAGGCTATAATTTCATTTTATAGAATTTTTCTAATATTTTAAGTTTTTAATAGTGCTAAGATTAACTGAGTCATACTTCATTACATTACTTTGCTTCAAATATTTTACCTCTTGATTTCATTAATGGAAAGTATTCTCCTCTTTTGTGAACACTGTTATCATTGCTATCTTATAAGACTTTCCATAGCTTTTATAGTTCCATAATATATACATAAAATATCCAAATAATTACCAGTTTTACTTTTGCAATTTGGATACTAGTGGATGCTACTGGATATTCCAAAAAAAACCCCATTTTAAAAATTAATACCTTTGTGGTAGAGGTACACATTCAAAAAAGAAAAATCCTATATTCTCAATTATTCTTGGTTCAACAGTTCTGTGTGTAAACATAGACAACACATATGGCCAACTAATGAAACAAAAGTCTAAATAAACACCTCCTTCCAAGTTCTAACATAATCCTTCCTGTGCAAAACAAATATCTACCAGGAGCAGCTCCAAAAATCTCAGATTAATTTCCTTTATCAGCATAACTCCATTTGGAATCCCCACTTGTAAGGCATGTTTCTCTTGGTCAGCAATGCTCCCTATTCCTGGATATCAAACAGGGTTCCTGCTCTAATCTAATAGTCCTTGTCCTTTGCCAGGTGGCACTGGGACAAGTCTTTCCTCTGATTTTTCTCTCCCCCATCAGACAAAAAAAAGGTGGCAGATCACTATTTCCACAGGCTTGGAAGGATGGTGGTGACTGCTGAACCTGGAGCGTGTCCAGCTAATGGAAATCACTTCACACAAAAAAGCACACTAATGATTGAAGAGAAATTTCCAGTGTTTGTTCTGGAATAGTTTTCACTGCATGCCCAAAGGTTTGGATTTTTGCTCTCTACTCAGTATCTTTATCCCAGCCTCGTTTTATCTCCCCTTTGAAAGAGGGATTTCTATCCTTGTCTATTGAAGAGCTTTTTATTGGAAAAATCACAGAATTATAGAATGGTTTGGGTTGGAACAGACCTTAAAAGCTCATCTCATTCCAACCCCCTGCCATGGGCAGGGACACTTTCCACTATCCCGAGTTGCTCCAAACCCTGTCCAATCTGGCCTTGGACACTTCCAGGGATGGGGCAGCCACAGCTTCTCTGGGCAACCTGTGCCAGGGCCACCCCACCCTCTCAGGGAGGAATTTTTTTCATAATATCATGTATATTAACAGATTTGTTTTTCCTAAATTTTGCTCTGTTTTTAAGGTCTTTCTAATAATAAAAACAAAACAAAACAAAAAAAACCCCAAATATTTATAACTTTAAAAATAAAACTGCTTGTTCAAATATGGATTTACAAAATACTTATACATTCCTTTTTTACCAGAGTCCTACTAATTAGGGGTTGGACAACATTTAATTAGCTTGTCAAGTCTAACTACAAGCTCTTACATATACTTTTTTCCTTCAAAAGAATTGTATCACAATTTTATAATCTGCCTCTTCACAGGCTGAACCTTCCTACTGAAAGCAAATGATTTTATTCCTTCTGGAAATGTGAATCATGTAGTAAATCCCATGCCATATAAATAATACCTCCTGGACACAGACAGATCAAACATAAAAAGTCTAAGCCTTAATCCTCATCCCCAGACAATGCAGGCAACTTTAGAAAGCAAATATATCATGTGTCTGAAAAAGGCTGATTCTGTTCCAAAGGCAGCAACACACAAACCCCACTGAACCCCATTGTGGCTTCCACACCAGTTTATCCTTCTTTTTACAAAAGGATCCTTGTGCTGTCCAATGATGGTGTGTTTTTAACAGCACCATAAAGTATTTATAAAGATAATTACCTTGAAGTTGCTGAACTAAACTGAGAAAATGCTATTTTTACTTTTTTTTTTTTTTCATTTCTTACTTGCCCATAAATGCATGCACAGGGAATCATAGAATTATTGAAGTTGGAAAAGATCATGTCCAACCACCAACCCAGCATCACTACCATGTTCACCATTAATCCCTGTCCTCAAGAGCCACACCCACAGATTTTTGAACACTTCCAGGGGTGGTGACTCCATCACTGGCCTAGGAAGCCTGTTCCAATGCTTGATAACCCTTTCCATGGAGAAATTCCTCCCGATGTCCAACCTGACCCTCCCCTGGCACAGCTTGAGGCCATTCCCTCTTCTCCTGTCCCTTGTTCCCTGGAGCAGAGCCCGACTCCCCCGGCTCCCCCCTCCTGTCAGGGACTTGCAGAGCCAGAAGGTCCCCCCTGAGCCTCCTTTTTTCCAGGCTGAGCCCCCCCAGCTCCCTCAGCCGCTCCTGGTGCTCCAGCCCCTTCCCCAGCTCTGTTCCCTTCCCTGGACACACTCCAGCCCCTCCATGTCTCTCTTGTCCTGAGGGTCCCAGAAGTGCCCCCAGCACTGGAGGTGCCCCAGCAGTGCCAGCACAGGGACGGGCACTGTCCTGGGGCTATGACACACTATTCCTCATCCAAACCAGGTGCCCTTGGTCTCTTGCCCACCTGGGCACACCTGGGCTCACGTTCAGCCACTCTCCACACACTTCTCACATGATCCTCCTTGATCTTTCTTTGCAGTAAAATGTGCTGCATATGCTTTGAGCAGCAAAGAGCTGAACCTCCAGGTAACTTTAGCAGCTTAAACACTTTATTAAAACTTCATTAAGAAAAGTAGCAATGATTCCTGACTAACACCATACTGCAGATGAAGAATATTACTGTTCTGAGGTGAATTAATCATGTGCAGCATCTTCAGAAATGCTCAATGTAGTTGTTTTTTGCTTGAGAATCATTTTTGGCATGCCAGTGCTCTATTCCACATCACATTCTTCAGTAAGACAATGAATAATCCTTACCTAAAGAGCAGTTACAGACCCATAATTTCAACTCGTTCATTTCCCTTAATGAGAGAAAGCACCAAGGGCAGAAAATATAGGCAACCCCCAACTGCCATTAACAGTAAATGAGATTTGTAGAAGTAACTTATTTGAAACTTAATCTCTCCACCTGCACTGCGTATGTCTGTTGTATAATTAGTATATGGTTTTATAGGTGTCAATATTCTCCTATTTCTCTGTAGGTGAAATGTCTTTACCTCTTATGGAACCACAAACAAAGTTGACAAACACCCACCAAGCAATTCCAGTGTTGTCCTCACAAGAAAAGCTGATCCATCCAAACATCCTGTTTGGAAAGGTGGTGTCCAGCCTGCAGGACCCATTTCACAGTGTCCAGTCCAGACCAGACCCTCTGGGTACATCCTGATTTTCTCCCAGAGGAAATGCTCTGAAACTTCATCAGAAAAAAACATAGGATGTACCCCCACATCCTTTGTTCAGCCAAGGAACTTTGGTTGGCAGCCAAAGTTCCTTTGTAGACCACACAATCACTTTTTACCTTTCTAGAAAGTTTGATTTTGCTTAGAAAGAATTTCTATATGCTAATTTTATACATAATAGTTTCCAGAATGCAACATGACATATGGGAGCTTAACAAATTTCATAAATGCAAATGCTTATCACAAACAACGTTAACAGAGCTTTGAAACTTGTAATTTTGCTTTCTCCCATCTTAGCCAGCAATGTGCCTCTGAATGCAGAAAAACAAAACTGTAAAGTTTATATTTTTATGTTCTCTTTATTAAAGATTATTAATAGCATGTGACCCCATTTGTAATACAACATGATCTAGCACTTTCTTTAAAGTGATGTCTTGGATAGACTAATCTAGTTATTAGCAAAAAAAAAAGGTCATTTTTTCCCCTAGATCTTTTAAAAGACTTTTTAATTTTCAGAGAAAATCTGAAGCTCTACTTTTATGATTTAACTTCTCTCATTGTACAAGACAAAAGGATGGGAAGACAAATCTTCAAAAGATTTTCCTCATGGTAATTTCTTACCATACACTGTGGGTGGTAATTCAGAGTGTCTAGACTAAAAATGAGATGTTATCTCAGGGACTCTAATAAAACTATCTATGCAGGCTTGTCTGTGCTTCCAAATATTTTTTTTAAAGGTAGAAATTATTTTTTCTTAATACATCATCATCTTTAACTCTCTTAACATTCCTTTGAGTTAATTAAGGACACACTTTCTCCAGCAGAAAGAACTGCTGGTTATCCCCCCGTCCTCCTCTCCAGTTAAGAAAATCATAAAAAAACCTGCATATTAAAGAGCTAAATTCTGCCACTGGGTTAAAGACTTGTGAAATACGAATTCACCAATCAAGCCTAGAATTCATAGATATTAAAAACATAGATATTACAAAGTTTTCAGATCAGCTCAAAGTGAGATGTCCCTGCCCATGGCAGAACAGCTGATTCCCGTCTTAGACCAAGCCTAGGTGGGAGCTGGTCAACCCCAGCATGAATATTGGGGTTTTTTTGGGGGGAAAACTGAAACAAATAGTCAGCAATTTATTTTAATAAGTATGTAAAGATGCAGCTAGAATATAAAAGGCAAAAGATTGAAGGCAAACAAAAATATTGGCCAGTCATCTACTACAACAATCTTCCTGCTCTTACTTTTATAAAATTTAATACAGAGGAAATTTTGTAACAGTGTAAAAAGTCCCTTGGAATGTTTTCATAGCCTGTTTTTTAACACTCTTTGTCTAGTATCTAATTTCTCTTCCTGTAATGTTATAAATCTGTCAGTCATGCTAGAGGGGAAAATGAACAAACACAACAGAACGCTGATAATATCAGAAAATGATTGCTAACTCAGAAAACAGATCTGATTTGGGGGAAAGCTCTGAATACCAAGATGCTCTGAGAGCTCTATCTTTGGTCTGCTGCTGCAACCAGCAATGCAAACTGAAAACAGGACATAAATCCACCAGCACAACTTTTCATTGGCTACACCTATCATACTGCAGTGGGTTCACTTACAGCTATTCCCATTTCATAAAAATCAAATTTAAAATTTTTATCAAAATATGCCAATTTTACAAAAGAAAAAAACCTGCTGCCTCCTTCGGATGTTATTTGTTTTCACTCTTATATAGAAAAAATAGAAGTGCACTGACTCCTCAAGGCACATGTCTCTAAAACATATGATAATATTTACACAATCAGCAATATTTATTACAGTTTGGTAGATGAGGTATTGTTCTGTAGTTCCTAAGGTCTTGTTTCGTCTTATGACAGGCAATTAAACAGCTGATGTAATTCAAACAAAGTCATGTTGATGAGGTTTCTGTGCAACGTTGCCACAATATTAAACTCTGCAAAGCAGGAAACAGCAGTGGCAACAATATATTTTTTTTTTAATTTAGCTCTCTGATAGGTTTATAACATATCCTACTGAATTTAGTTTCCTTAAGATTCCCTACTGCATTTGGATTTCTCATCTGGACTAGACAGTTGTCTCTTCTCTTAAAGGGGTTTTAATGAATGTATTTCATAGATCCATTCCCATACACTTAGAATTTCCTCCTCAAAACCTAACAGGTAGCAGGGATAAACTTCAAAATCAAGTTTAAGCAGCAACTGAAAACACCAGCTTAACCTGACACAAAAAAATACATGTATTGAACAACTTTTCCTACCAGATGTAACAAATAGACTTTTTAATTAAATGACTGTCAGGCTGAAACAAAAACCCACCTCTTACTGTACCATTGTGTCTGTGCACCTCAACATAAAGGAGATTCTCCTCTCCACTGCCTTTGAGTGTTAAGTGGCAAAAATCTGAATATTTATTTCATTTTCAAGTTCAAAGTAAATAAAGATCTGTAAAACACTGCTCATGTACATTGCTTATATAGATGTTTTCATTTTTATTTTATCTTTGTTATGTACATTATTTGAGAAATGTATTCTTAGAACAAGGAGGATATTGGATATCACCTTTCATGCACTACCTAAAGTGATGTTACATGTTTGCTCCACCTAAGCCTCAGTACCATTCAAATTAGGACTTACACACCTCTCCCAGTCTTTTCCTCAATGAACATCAACACAAATAATTAATTTAATTACAGCTCTTGTGAGGTAAATTTCTAAATAAAAGTTCCCATTCACTACTCTGTTTTTTTTCAATATCCAGGTGGCACAGTTTGAAAGAAATAAGAATTAATTCAATTTACTTCAATCTATTCTAATGGATTTATATCTATATGGGTAATAGAATGATCAGGTTGTAGCCATGAACTACCTGCCTCCTTTTTATTCACCAATGGGCAGAATTTGTTTGAAAACAGTGTTTATTATCTCTCAGCTTATTATATCAGTAAAAACAGCACAAATGTTTAAGAGAAAAGTTAAATTCAGACAGGTAGACAACCACTGAAAATACAATTCTGCTAAGCCACTTGAATTCTATGATATTAATTTCGCTTCACTGTCGCTCACAGAATGATTTACAAGAACTGAAAACCAAAGCATCTTAATTATATCATAAAATATATCTAAATTTGTTCTCAGAACACACTGACAATCTTGACAATCTCTTAAGAAAGCCAGGAAAACTACTGCCAACCAAAAAATGTAGGTGGATATGTCAGGATTAGAAATTTCTTTAAGATTTTGTTGCTTTTGGCTTCTTTTTTTTTTTTTTAGTTTATCACTTATAAAATTTCCATTTCTAATTATCTGGGGAGCAGCAAATTGTGAGCTTGAGTTCTTAGTGTAGTTTGAAAAGGTATGAAAATCAATTTCTTTTTCTAAAAGATCAAGGTAGATCATGCACAGAACTGTTCTTCCTACTTCTTTGATGCTTCCCAGGTCTCCTTCTCCATAAAAAAAGCATTACTAGAGAGAGTGTCATCACCAGTTTTCATCTCTGTCTGTATAACCCTCTCATTACAGGCTTTCTAAGGTTTACATGCTATGGACCTGCTCCAGTTAAAGGATGAACAAAGATCCTTTGGAAAATACATCAGAGCTTCTGCTCTTTATTAGGTCCCCAACCCTGATATGGAGTTAATTTTGCAACTCCTCCATCCCTCCTGAACAACAATCCTGCAGCTGCATCACCCTGGGAGGCCTGGATACAGTTCAGCATCGGATAGATAATATTCCTTTTGCAATTTCAATATTCTCATAAAGCACAGGACTCACATATTGTCTGCTTTGGGTTTTTTTGTGCTGATGTTTTATAACTGAAGCAGCATTAAATTTCAAGGTAAGTAGTCAAAAGAATGGATTTTTTTTTCTCTAAATAATGCTCACTGCTACAGCTATCCTCAAATTATAAATAAATAAATAAACCCCTTTGTATTTACATGAGGAAAATATAAATATTAATTCCAGTACCCAGTGAAATTTTTATTAATATTTGATATAAAAGTGCCTCTCATATATTCAATTAATTCTATTAAAGAATAAGACAACTATGAAACTACAAAAAAATCATCCAAGTTAAATACCCCTCTCATCAATATTATTTACTTAAAGAATGACAGCAAAGCACATGGGGCTGCTGAAAGCTGATATTTAAGATATGCATAAACAGTGGCTGGTGCTCCACACTACACATTCACATGACAGAAAAAGGCTCCATGTCCCACACTTAATTTATTATTACTCTACCTGTTCATGGATAAATTCATACCTCAGTAAGATAAAGGAGAAGGAAGTTTCAATTTCTATAATTTCATTATTAAACTTTACTTTAGGCCATAAGATATTTCACCAACTACTGTATATTTTATTTTTATGCCCGTTTTATCCATGACTTTAAATAGAATGTGAGACAGCCCTTTTATCTTCCAAATTTTTCAGCTGCACCGTCAGTCTCCAAAACCTTCTCAGGTATTATAACAATTATGACCAGAAAACCTTTTTTTGTCTAAACCAAATCAGCTTATTTGAGGATTATTTACATGGCCAGAATTCCCAAGAGTGTTGCAGTAATTAATTAGCAGGAAACATGCTGAGAAGGGTAATAGATATGGGACATTCATCCTTTTGCTTCCAAGATACCTGTTCAATTTGATTTGTTATTAAAGATGAGCAAAAGGTGCTTTTGTTTTGTTTCTTCCCAGTTAAAAAGCGTTAACTGTATTTCTGGTCTCAGGCTATTTCTCACCTGGCCATTAAGACAGATAATTGCCTTTGTGAAATAGAGAATCAAAAAGCCACCCCAAGCCTCCCATTTCAGACACATACCCAGAATTTATTGTGCAAAAGATAGAGGAAAATATACATCGTGGAAGCTCTGGGGAATTACTTATTAACTAACATTAACATCAGAAAACACCTCTGTTGGTCTGGGCTAACCAGAATGAAGGCACTGAAAGA